TAAATTTCTCTCAAATTTCAAAAAGCAATAATCTATGTAATGTAAATTTAAGTATATTAAGATAATATGATAAATTAGTAAATTCATTGCATTTAGTTAGGGAAATGCAACTTCTTTGACCATCCTTAAGGAATTTATTTATATTATGCAAGAGAAGTTGAATAATTTACCTTTTGAAAAGTAGAATTGATAATGGAAATCAAACACAAATATTTTATGCATTTCTTGTGAAGTTACACTTCCCTAGTTTATATACATATGAACTAAAAGGGAGAAAAAGTTACATTTTTACCTTATATTTTGACATAATTAAATACTTTGTCCTTGAACTTTAAAAATTACACTCTAGTTTAAATTCGCTAATGACTTAAATCTCAAATAATGAACAGAAGGATAATTTCGTTTAAGGGAGACAAACTACAAAAACAAAATAATGTAATTTTTAAAATGCAAAAATAAAGTAGTTAATTATGCCAAAATGTAAGGATAAAATCATATTTTTTCATGAAAATAAAGTAAAATAGAGACATATAAATTTGACTCAAATAAAGAAAAACTCACCAAATAAAAATAAAATAGAAAAGAGAGGAAAATACATTGGTAAGACCACAAAAATTATTGCAAAAAAGCATATAATTTATTTTTACTAGATGCTTCAAATCTATAAAAGGACACACACAACACAAGTCATAAGACTAACATATTATATTGTTGCAAGAGACATTATTTCCCATACAAGAAAAGATTTGCCATCAAACACACACGTATACACATACTTAATCACACCTATCTATCAACTCCCATTTCTTCAAGAAATGGACAAAGAAGCCATCGTTCCTCTACCTCACCGGGGATCTTCGTGCCTCTCGGCCGGTTGCATGATGTCTCCTTCATGCTTCCCGGTGTACGACGGAATGGAGTACCAGCTCGTTCAATATAACAGTAACAACAGTAGCAGCATCAAGAGAAGCCGGAGATGGCGATACTTGATAAGAAGGCTAGTAAGAGAAGGAAAAACCAGCATATATGGATCAAAGCCTCTATCTTTTCATTATGACGCTGTTAGTTACTCACAAAACTTCGATGAAGGTTGCCATTATCAAGAATCCATCATTCAAAAGTGTTGACGGTGAAAGATGCTAGATGGGATGTTGATGATTTACATTAAAAAGTTAATATTTTTGTTTGTGCTGTTAATTAGAAGGTTTATTTTGAAGTTTTAGTTCATTATATGTTAATGTTTGTAGCTCTGTTCAGATCTATTAATTGCTTATTATCAAATCACTTACTATGGATCTGCTTGTTTGAGAGATACAGTAGATCTGCATATATTATATATGCAGATCTTCTGTGGCGTTTCATTATGTAACTGTACAGTTTTGATACTCAAAACTCAAAAGAAGGAACTTTTTGGTATTAGTTTTTTAATTATTGAAGTCAAAAAACAGTTAAAAGAACAATTTGAAACTGTTCTTCAAACATTAATTATTTGTTTTTGATGTAGATCTAGATTTTAGGGTTTTTGGGTGCTCATGATTAATCTGAAGACTGTTTCATTTTGTGTTGGTCAGTTGTTACCAGAAATTTGTAGCAGAGAAGCAGTGAAAGAGGGGGTTGGTACCAATGCCAGTTGCATTAGCTAACAACATAACATGTTGTTGGATCCAGAGGCATTGGCCCACCTAAGTTGGGAAGGAATGATAGCTTTTTCCCTTTCTTTTCTCTCTCTTTTTATCATCAAACTTTATTATTAATTATTATATGTTTGATTCAATATTTCATTTAATTATATTACTAGGTCATATATGATGTAAACGTGATATATATATATATATATGGAAATAGTACCTAATACTTTGAGTTATTGTATGAATATATTCTTCTTTTTTAAAATAAAAATTAGATTTTTTTGTTTTTTTTTCAACAAAAAAATAAAAATTAGATTATATAGTAAAAAATGTAAAATTAAATTATAAACTGCATAATGCTATTGCTAGCAGAAAATTTTATGGTTTCTCGTACAGAATATAATGATCCTTTTTTATAATAAATGATTTTTATAAAATTTTATGTGATTTATTTATAAATTCAAATTTTTTTATTTATTATGAAAAAAATGAAGATCTAATTTTTGCGAATTTAATTCTACATATTTGAGTATAATTAAATCAAATTTTATTAAGAAATGTATAATTTTTTAAATGAATTTTATAAATTTAAACACCAAAATTTTATGATAAAACTATCGATCCTCCTAACTAGGGCGGTACTGGATGAAAATTTGAAGAGACCACCGCACCCCTAAGAAATTAAAAAAATATATATTTTAATCCTTAAAAATATAAAAATTATATTTTACAACCAAATGGTTTTTTCTTAGTTTTGACTATGCTTTTAGTCTTCTAAGATTATCATGCTCGGGGTATTTTAGAAAATAAAAAGAACTAAAATTTTAATTTTAAATTTATTACAAATGTGAAAAATTCATTTATAAATAAATTCTATTTAAAATTAATTTGTAATAAATTCTACATTTTCAATTCACTTACACTAAATGTGAATATTACAAAATTTATCCCAAATTCAGTTGGAGTGATGATCCTTTTTTGCCCTTTTTCTTTTTATTATTCCACTTGTGGGGCTTTTAGAGGCAGGTTATCCAATTTGGGTTGGGCCCGTAAATTCAAATAAAATGGGGATGTTCGGATTTCTTGGGCTCCATACAAATTTCCATCCCAGGATTGGGTTTCCAGGAAATTTACTCAATTACACGTTTGAAATTAATTTGCTTAACAAATATATTCAGTGATAAATTGTTTATAGTCTTCTTCCTGTTATTTGAAACTTGAAAAAAAAAAAAAAAAGAAAAGAAAAGAAAACAGAAAATTGTTTTTAAGAAAAAATAATTTGGAATGCACAAATCTTTTCCATGATAAAAGAAATGTTTTCTTAGCATTTATAAATAGGAAATATTTTCCATTCTCTTATTTTCTATATAAAAGAAAATTAATCCAACGATTATTGTCTAAGTTTTTTTCTTATTTTATTTTGAAACGTAGAAGTTTTCTAATTTCTATTTTTTTCATTAACTTTCCATACATAATATTCATGAAATTGTGAAATTTAAACCGGGGATTTTTGATATTAATAAATTGGAGTATTGTAGACCTATAATAAAAATGAAAAATATGTTTATTTTTTATTTAGAGGTTTTCAAAAAATAATATATTTAATTTTATAACTTTCATAAAAAAATATTTTTTATTAAAATTTTTGAATAATCTAATGAACTAAAATTATTGTCGATATTTATTCGAGATATAATAAAATAATAGTTAAAAGGATTTATAATTTTGTACTTTATACAATTTAAAAATTAAAATATACCAGTAATATTATCAAGGTTCAATAAAGCATGAATGCATGTTTAACGTATTAATAAAATTAGTATTAAATTATTTTAATGAAAACTGTTACGTCGGCATGGACCACCTGTCACATTCTCCAACCATCGCCAAGATATTTTTAAAGTCCCTTCTAGTCTTCGTCACATGTTTAAACATTTCCCGCAGGTTTTTTTCTCTCTGGGATTGCCTTTCAGTTCTTTTAACGAGCAAACAAGGTGAAGAATCTGATCCTCTCTTTCTCTCATTTTTTTGCTCTTTTCAATCTCGTTCTTGCTTTGATCATGATTGGCTCTTTCACATAGCTAATACATTGATTCTGCATTTTCAACATTTTAAACTCGCTTTTTTTTTTTTTTTTTTTTTCGCTTTTTTTTTTTTTTTTTTTTAAATGTTTCTTTTTTTTTTTTTTTTTTTTTAATGTTTCTCTAACTTTAGATTCCTTGTATTTCGGTGGATTTGTGATTTCTCGTCTCTTTCGAGTTGTTTCTTGGCTGCTATTGAGGTTTCAATTTGGCCCGCCTGCTTTAGGAATTTTTTTCATTTCGCTTGGTTGAGGTTATGTTAGGAATTAGGATCGTGTTTACTGTTTTATTTGATTATTTGCCCTTGGTTAAATATCGTTTTATGGTTGTATTATGGCCTTGTTATTGGAAGGTTCTCCTGTTTATTGTTTATTTGGTAATGAAATTTGTCAAAAATTTGAAAATTGGATTGAAGAGGATACTTGCAGTTGTTGCATGTGGCATGTTGCTCTTAACTGGCTGTAGGGCTGTAAATGAGCTGAACTAAGCTCCTCTTATTAGAGGTTTACTCGAGCTCGAGATAGGCTTTACAGATTATAGTAAAAAGAAAAAAAAAAAAAAAGAAGTAAAAAACTTTGCCTCTTTACAGGCTTTAGCTTGAGCACGAGCTTGGCTCGTTTATTATTTGAGCTCGATAATTAGACTCAAATTGTGCTTGTTAAAATTATCAAATGTGCTTAAATGAGCTTGTTTTAAGCTGAGCCTCAAGCCATTCATGACCGGTTTGGCTGAATTACAGCCCTAACTGTGGACTTGTGAAGAATGCCAAGAAATTAGACCCAGTAAGAAAATGTAAAGTTTTTCCTGCTTATTTGAATATGCCAGAGTAGCACAATGACCTTTTCTTGACACTATAATTGAGTGTCAAAATTCAAACATTTGCGCCAGTCATTAATTTCAGATATTAAGGAAAACCACATTGCCCTTTCTTGCTTTTGTCATAAACATCTATATTTTGAATAGCTGCTCAGTCAGATGCTTGTTTTCTCAACTCCTATGGTAGCATTTGTGTCACCCTGGAGTATTTCTCCTTTTTTTTTTTTTTTTTGTCTTTTTTTTTTTATTTTTTGGGGGGGGGGGGGGGGGTGGGGGTTGTGCGGGGCGGGGCGGGGTTGGGGTTACGTGCTTTTCATGGATTGGTTGATAGTTTAGTCCATCCATAAATCTTACAAAATGGTGAATCTTTGAAACTAGCCTGAATTGATGTTTTAACAATTTTGCTATGTGGTGTTGTGTAATCCTGCTTCTCATGGAAATCACCAATGGGTGATGAATTTGTTTAGGGGTTGGGGTTACGTGCTTTCATGGATTGGTGATAGTTTAGTCATCCATAACATCTTACAAAATGTGAATCTTGAAAACTAGCTGAATTGATGTTTTCACAATTTTGCTATGTGGTGTTGTGTATCCTGCTTCTCATGGGAAATACAATGGGGTGATGAATTTGTTTATCCTTTCTAGCTGCAAACACCGACATAATTCAGTTTCAAAGCATATAAAAGGAAACCAAAAAAACTTACTTGTGATTAGCTTATTTATACTTATCCACCTTGTGATCGAGGTTTATTATAGAACACTAGTTATTTTGTAATATTGACCCTCTTGCAGGTTAGAAATTTCTTTTGTTTGCTGCTTGCTCGTGTTTGTTTGACCTCAAATTTTTGTTCATCTTTAAGTTGTAGTGGTTTCTTGTGAGTCGAATTATGATAACAAGTAAAAATTTCATGTGTTGTTTGATGTTTTTAGTTGTTAGTTATTTTTGTCTCTATGGTTTGAGGTAGGGGTTAAGCCATTCAGGTTGAAAGGCAAATAGCAGACAGCCAAGCATTTTGGTTTTTGTTTGTTTATCTATTATAGTGCTCAAACGGCGTGTGAACGTCAGCTGTCAGAAAATATGAGCTGTTTTGAAGGAATGTATAACCTATGCTTGAACAAGATTATGAAAATGAATCTCTTGGAAGATCTCACTCACCTTGGACTTGCACACTTGTAGCAAAAGAGGAAAAATTTAAAAAGAAAAGAGAAAACAGATTGGATACTGTGTCGAGAAACTAAGCTTATGCTGTTGCTTTTATTAAGCACTTTAAAAGTATCCCTTGATACCCTTTAAGTTTGTTTTGGACATCTTATTTTTTACATTAGCCAAGGAGTGTTACATTGGCCAAGGAGTGTACTTCTCAGAATATGGTAGTACCTAGGTTATAGTATTTGGTGACTATCTCAAATTTCCTGCAGCACAATCGAGCTACACCTAGCTGTTAGGTTGTGAATTCAGTGCTTCTCTTTTTCTGTAAAGCCCAATTTTTAGCTGCAGGGCCCTTGTGGATCTTTCGTAAGGAGGCCCAAGTCTATTGTCAATGCAAGCTGCTTTGAACAAGCTCTATAATTGAAGGAGATTCCAAATCCTTCTTAGTTTGAAAATTATTGCATGCCTCATAGTATAAATTTAGGTCCATGTCCTTATGTTGGAAGAAAACCCAAATTTTTGTTAGCGTGAGTGAGGAAGTACTTGACCTATTGAATAAAAATCATTCATTCATTTAGTTGCTGGGTATCACCGAAGTGAATGGCATGAGTAAGCAAAGGTTTCTTTCCCACTGCTATATTCTGTTCGTAATGGCCTATCTTTTATTCAATTATAATTTATAGTGAATGGACTCATTTTCTGATCCATGTTATATTTTTTTTATTTTTCTGGAGCAGGTTTTGAAAGAGCTTTGTTGAAAAATCAATTTTCATGCATGCCGTTGTTATTGTATGTGATCTCTCTTGTAATTGCTAATCGTTATATATGTGGTCCATAAATGAATCTGCCTTCAATTTCTTTTCAAACACAGGAAGAAGAATTACATTTAGATCTTCTTATTTACCTAAAAAAATAAAATAATATATAGATGTCTGAGCAAAATTTTAAACACGCTATATTTTTATTTCATGATATGCAAATTTACATAGATATTGGGTGGCTTCATGCATGGATCAAGACATGATAGACACTGTCAGATTTATTATGCTGATTGATTTTGCCTATATCAAATGACTGACGTTCATATTTGATTTTGTCTAGATCAAGTGACTGACATTCTTATTTCTATTCTTGGGTGGTTTACCTATTTGTCTCAATCGCAGTGTTGATTTTAGACAGCTGCGATTTGATAAACACAGTATTTGATATCAATGTAGAAGTGTATGAACTCATGCTGCCGACCTGCTGTCCAAGGATAAAAGTCTTTCTTCTTCTTACTTTTACTCTGTTGCTTTGGGTGGTGCCTCGGTGTTTGGGGTTTCAGGCTGGCTTAGTTGCAAATGGGTCGGGATGCAAGAATTTTCTTCACCGTTGAACCCATACATAAGAAAGGAATTTCCAGTTGTATTCTCTTCCCTTGTACCATAAACCTGAAAGAATAAGCCCATGGTTGAACTTAGCAATGATTTTAGATTCATTGTCTATATAGTCTTAACTTTTCAGAATATGAAGTTGGTTAAGTGAGTTACTGTGGTTGCCTGAAGTGTCTGAGTAATCAAGTCTTATTACCTTCTTGTACAACTCAATGTTTTCTTGACGTATGAGGTTTACCTTCTTATACAGTTCAACATTTTCCTTATGAAAAAGGTTTCCCTGTGATGAGAACTGGAAAATTAATATTGGAATGGAAATAGGTTATAACAGCAACTTGTGAGAAAATGATGGAGTTTTTCGAAGGACCTTTCGACTAAGCTCTTGTATTTCATCAGTCAAGATTTGTTCCTGTAGAAATTGAAATATAATGTATGATAATTACAAGTCATCGCATGAAATTATATACGACATATATTAGAATAGCAAAATTTTGAACCTTTTTCATGCGAATCCCCCGCAAACTCATTTCCAATTGATTCTCTAGGCTTTGTAGGTCTTTGACCGTCAAACCATAAAGTTGTTCTCCCAACAGTTGTCTGCGATATCAGAATATATATTTAGCTTAATCAGTAGACATTGCATTTGACGTATAGAATAGGTTCACTTATCTCATATTTCTTAGAGTTTTTAGTTATTATGTGTACATGCACAATTTGCAGTTTACTATCACTAACTGTTGTTATGCTTGAATAACATTTGACACATAGAATGGGTTCACTTATCTCATATTTCTTAGAGTTTTTAGTTATATGTGTACATGCACAATTTGCAGTTTACTATCACTAACTGTTGTCATGCTTGAATAACATGTGGTTTTTGGAACCTATTAGGAATGTTTTAGAGAATGCTTGTTTAACTTTATGACATTGTTATTGATAATCGTTTCAGGGAAAAATCTTTAGATATGTGTTATTTTCAGCTGTTAGGTCCTTTTTGTATATTCACTTTTATCTCTTTTGAGTTTTGACCACTTGGTCTGAGACTAGATAACATGAATTTGGCTTTGCCAACTTAACTTTTTCATGCTATCAATTTTTAAATTCACTCATTTCAACCTGCTAGCCTTCTCATAAATGGTACAATAATAGTAATTTCAAGTAGAAGGATCATACCGATGGCTTTCTTGCAAGTTGTGCAGTTGTTGCCTTAAGATTGCTGCTTCTCTTTGCCAGAACTTTAAAGTCAAGTATCCAGTATAAGGTTTAAGCATATAAATAAGATGTGCATGCAATGATGTGCATTTTTAATGCATAAATGGCATGCTAATTGTGAGATAAGCTTCCAAATATTTTGAGGATGAGTTACTAGATAATTTAATATGAATTTTCTGAACTGACTAGCTCAGCTGTCTAAACCAAAGAATTATAAGAGTTTGCTAAAATGATACAAGTAATATATGGATAAGAAACTAGTAATTTTGCAATTTTTGTTTTTCTGAATAAAGCAAATGAAAGAATTGAAAGCAGGAAGTACAAACTATGAACATTTTGAAAATTCAAATTTAGCCATTTGATAGGAATTTCATATAAATGGGAACTAGGGCTTGCATCTGCTTTTAAGGCTGATTAGGTATTGTGATATGATTTGTGATATGCTTTTTCAAAATTTTTATAAATTCCTTTACTGTAGTCATATAGCAATTAGGAGATGCCATCAATAACAATAAATATTGCTTTACGGAACCTATGGAGTGATCAAAATTTGAACAGTTTTCTTGGTCATAGACTTTTTAATATACTTGTATACGTGTCTGTGCTTAATTGACTCAAGTAACTTCACGGCGATACAAGTTTTTCATCTCAAAATACTTATTATTTCTTACAGATTCAAGAAAATGCATGTTTCAAAGAACTTTAGTAGGACTTTGTCTCAACCTGTTTAAGCTCAATTAAAATGAAAATAGATATAGCCATTCAATTTCTGGAAATTTCAGTCATTTATGATGCCTTTTTACTGGACTTAGATTGTAGTCTTTTTTATTTTATGAACAGATTAGTTTAATCATAGATCAATTGGTATTGATGCTTTACTACATTAATTTTTATGTGATAACTCATAGACCTTACATGTGGGAATCATATATCATTTGATATTCTATTTCTCTCTTTCTTTCACCCTATGTGCTCTGAACTAAGCCAAAATGTGGACATATTATTAGAAGCAGATATTGATTTTGTTCCGAGCAAGTTATGATGACACGAATGTCTTATAGTAATCCATATGCAGTTCATGTTAACATATAGATTCGGTAATTAAGCTATCACGTTGGTCCACATCATGTTTTGCGTTGAAACAATTCAAGTTTTTCCACTATCACATTCAGTAAATTTCTGTGTGCTGCTGCTTTCATTTTGCCTTCTGAAACCCATAGTTGCTAACTCAATCGAGACAAATTAGCAGTTTTACGTTTTTGATTGATATTTGCTCAATTAGGGGAGTTAAATGCAACAGAATCTTCTCAAAGAATATCTTGCTTTTTTATTTTTTTAAAAAAAATGAACAGAATTTTCTCATGATATAACTATTATGATGGTGGTAAAATTGCATTGAAGGAAATGAGGAGCAACTAGTAGAGTTTACCTTAACTTCTGATGTTGGATTCAGCAATTGCTGGTGTTCCTCTTTTGTTTTGTTGTATCGTTCAATAACAGATTTCATGCTGCTGAAAAGACAAAAAAGAATCATATTTTGCACAAGCATAGTTCTTATATTTAGAAAATAAGCAAAAAGTGGTGGCATCACTTCAAAAATAGTGCTGGCTAGAAAAGCAACTTTTGTGGTATTATGTGTTTTTTTCTTTCTGATATATGCTTTATATCTGGCGAATATCAAGTTGAATGCTTTGTCATGAAAATCTATTAAGGACAAGAAATCGGTAAATCCAGTACAAATAAAAATATAGCATCCATTACATTTTGTGATCTGCAGAAGTTTTCAATTTTGTAGCCTTTCCAATGTCCTGTATGCTAGCAAATTCTCATAATTAGCCAAGAACCACTAAAATTTGTCATGATTGCCTACAATGGTGCTTGGATATTGTAACTGGTAGTTTAATCTTTTGAACAGACTCACTTTGATAAAAGATTTTTTATATTTGAGAATTGTATTGCATGGGTGGTTGATGACTCGTTGAGTATCTATTTTGATGTCTATTTTATCTTTTCTTTTTTTTTTCTCCATGTTTAGGTAAATTGATGTCTCTACTTATTTTTCTTCTTGGGCAGACAACTTGGTGACAGTAATGCCTTTTCAGGCTTTATAACTGTGCTTTTGCACATAGCAGATTCTAAATATGTGAACTAGTGATGTAAGAATTTTTAATTTATCAACTTTATTTTGTTTTCATTTTTAATTTATGGATAGTTTTTTAAGAACTTTTAATCATAAATCAGATCAGAGAGGTTAATTTTGAAGGGAAAGTCCCAAGTGAAGAATTTCTCTTCTGGCTAGGACTTGCACTCTTGGAGGAATGCTAAGTGCAAGAACTGCGCAATTTAAAAAAAAAAAAAAAAATTTTTTTACCCTTGGAGGAATTTCTCTTTGTCTAGAAATTTTTTATTTTTGCATTGATGTTTTGATGTTTTGCTTTTGGGTTCCGTGCATATATTTTGGTCTTGTCATTATAAAAGAGGTTCTTTTTTTTTTTTTTTTTTGGTTCCTCTTCTGGCTAGGACTTTGCACTCTTGGAGGAATGCTAGTGGCAAGAACTGCGCATTTTTTAAACAAAAAAAAAAAAAAATTTTTTTACTTGAGGAATTTCTCTTTGGTCTAGAAATTTTTTATTTTTGCATTGATTGTTTTGATGTTTTGCTTTTGGGTTCCGTGCATATATTGGGATTGGTCCTTGTCATTATAAAAGAGGTTGTCTTTTTTTTTTTTTTTTTTTTTGGTGTTTTTTATTATTACTGCTGCTCTTTAAAGAAATGACCATGAAGAAAGAATTTTGTAGAGAGAGATCTGAATTGGAGAAAAAGGAGAGGTAAGGAAGGAAGGAGGCTGTTTTGACGGCGGAAATGAAGGAGAAAGATTCAAAATCTTCCACAAATTTGTTGAAAAGAAAGGATTCTAAAAGGTTGAATAATTAATTCGAATTCAGGAGCAACAAAAGCCATTTTGATTCTAAAACAATGGTAGAATAAAGAAAGAGAAAAGAAGGTAACAGCTTAAAAATTTGAGAGAGAGAGAAATAGTTTGGAAAGCTTGACATGTAAGCTCTTCTTTGTTGATTCACTCGCTCTAGCAAATTTGAACATGTACTAAATTTTATAACCTTCACAAAAAATTGAGTGTCATTCAATTAAAGTTATAAATTGACGGATATATTTTCGTATTTTCCTTTTATCTATTATTATAAAAAACGTCACATTGAAAATATTAATTTTTTAGAATAAATTTTCAGTGTTGGAATTATAAAATCTTTATTTAACCATCCCAAATGCGTTTTGAATTGCATTTGATTTCAGTTATCACAATGTTAAAAAAATAAAGTTAATTAGTTAGAATAAACTAAAGTTGATTATTTTTTTTTTTGAATTTAGGGGTAAGTTCAACAAATAAGATTGATATGAAATCAATTATCTTTATTACTTGATTTTTAACACAACGTTTGATCTTCTCCTAATCAAAAGACTTGATATTGTATTTTTCTAAAATTTCGAAATTTTGAGTAAATTTAGGATTTCAATTATGATTAACGCCAACTATTATAAATCCAATAACAAATTCTCAATATATAGTGATCTTTATTTTATGGGTTAATGATTAACACGTAAAATTTTTGAACAATTGGGAATTTAATATATAGTCCATCATTTCAATTCTGTTTATTATATGCATATATAACATTTTTATATGTCAAATATAAGAAAATTTTACAAAGGAATATTAAATTTTGAACACCCTTGTTTTATTTTTATTTATATATAAAAAAAAAAAAATGAAATAAGCATAGACATTAGCATGAGAAGGTGGTGTAAAGAGAGGAAATGCAGTGAAAATCAAAATACTTAAAGATACTTTTGATATATAAGTCATAATAGAATGTAATACAATTATGTGCATTATACTATGTTAGAATGTTGACATATGCTATTTTTTTCCTTTTTTTTTTTTTTTTTTTTTTTGTACTTATCGTGTAATGAGTTAATAATTTTGAAAAAGGAAAAAAAACCGTCCAGCCTTAAACTTAAAATGCATAATGATCTTATTGAGAGTTCTAACACATTTTCTTCCCAAATTTAGGAATTTGTTGGTCCCACATTGACCTTGTTATTAAAGGGTTCTGATGTTAAAAGTCATGTTTTTTTTTTTTTTTTTGGTACTTATCGTGTATGGTTAATAATTTTGAAAAAGGAAAAAAACCCTCCAGGCCTTAAACTTAAATGCATAATGATCTATTTGAGAGTTCTAACACATTTTCTTCCAAATTTAGGATTTGTTTGGTCATTTGACCTTGTTATTAAAGGGGTTTGATGTTAAAAGTCATGTTCGGCAAAATTAGCTGTTTTCATAGTCATTAGATGCTTTAGTAGTGTTTTTAGTTATTTTAGTAGTTAGTAGTTCTTTGAGTAGATTTTCATAAATGCTAAAAGTTGAACATTACAGGAATTAATATTTTATAAAACACTACCTTCAACTCTAAAATTTAATTCAAACGCTATATTACCGAACAATATAAAAAATAACATTTGTTTTGACTGATTAAAACACTAAAAATTATTTAAAAAACAGCGAAACACTATCTGAATCTACTAGAATAGCATAACACAAACCATTATGGGATTGAAGTTTATCTACTGTCAAAAAGAAGTGCTAAGCATGCATATGAAGCAGGATAGGACAGATTATTTATTTTAATAAAACTATTACCTTACTGTTACTTTATTTATATTCAATTAAAAATTATGAAAGTTGCCTTAAAAGCCAAGCGTGCAATGCATCCATAACAAAAGGCCAAATATTTAAGGACACAAAGGTATCACAAAAAGCTAGGTTGTTTGATTAGCCTTGGATGCTTTGATTAATTTTTGTTTAGAGAGATACATTAATTAAAGTTATTTTATAGTATTGTTAGCTTTTCAATAATATCTCTTTAGACAGAATTTGTTAAGTGGGTAACATCATTTCTTAGTACTAATTTATTGAATTTTAATATATAATTCCTTAAAATAATGGACTAGGATATTAAATATCAACTTGATCTATGTAATTGATTGTGGTATATAACCTAACAATAACATCTATCTATAATCCAAGTATGCACCTTTGTATACATCATGCTTTGTTTTTTAAAGATCAAAACTTTTTATTTAATAATGAAATGATACTTTTCCATAAAAGGAAAATACTATGTTTTACAGGTTTTTACTTAGATTGGAAAAAAGATAGTGTTCCACCATGCAAAGACAAATTATCCTTGTATCCAAACATGACATTTGAATTGAACCTAGGTAGCTACAAGGCAATCAGAAGAAAGCAAAACATGTTGGGAACTTTCAAATAGTGTTGCATAAGAGAGGAAATTCCACCATGCAAAGACAAATATATCCTTGTATGCAAACATAACATTTGCTTTGAACCTAGCTACAAAGAGGTAGGAAGAAAACAAAACATGATGTTGGGAACTTTCAAATAGGTGTGGCATAATTAACTGAATAAGAGAAGAAAGATTAGGTTAGATTTGAAGTATAGATAAGCTAATTAATCAGAATTTTATCAAATTTAATATTTGTACCTATTTCATAGTATTACAAGATTGGAGAGAATTTTCAATTCACAAAGAAATGATGAAAGGTGACTGATAAGAAGAAGGATTTTATGATTTCCATGTAAAGAGTAGAGTTAATAAGAGTTGGAGTTATATTAATTACATAATATAAGAAACCTTATTTCAGCCATTCACTCTCTGGTCTAAATTTTTAACTGGTTGTTTACTGTGGTATCAAGACTTGACTATATATAACATTTGGAGTTGAAATCCTAAACCTATATTTTTTCCTAATTTGACAAACCACCAATCTAAAACTTCACAAGTCTTGAACCTTCTTTTCCCTAATGTATATTCAATTGGCAATAATTTTGCTACCTAAAGTATGTTTCTTTACATACTCACCATATCTCTCTCATTCTATAAATTTTTTCCCTTCTTTTCACTTTCTAATATGTTTATCATATCTTTGTTGGATTGCATCAATAGTTACTTTATCCATACAACTTGCTTATATCAATGATATATACATCTTTTCTTCTAAACCAAATGGGTTCCAAAAGCTATTCTCTCCTTTTTTATCAATGATATATACATCTCTACTACATAAGCAAGTTCAAATCCTATAACAAATGTGAAGTACTCTCATTTCTTTTTTTTTTCTTCTTGATCATTCATTTGTACTCTCATTTAGTCATTTTCTGTTCTCCTAATGAAAATCTCTTTGCCTAGAAGCCTCTTCGGAACCTTTCATGCAATTCTTTTCCGATTGCTACAAAGAAAAACGATTATAGGAGAAAAACCAGTTAGAAGAAAGTTAAACAGTACTCTTGAATGGGATCTCATGTTTATGGATCTTATCAGCTAAAATTCATAATACTCATCCTATATATTGCATTTTATTACATCTTATAAATTAGTTAATATGACTTTGAATATCCAAGCAGCATCTATACTTAAAGCTTTTAATTTTAATTACTGCAGAACATATCCTCTCTTATTTTTCTTCAGTTGATACATGCAAGATTTTTATGTAACCAAACCCTAATTATCTAATCATCATATCTTTAAAATATTTTAAATACATTTAATTAAATTGAATATAGTAATTTTTTGCAGGAAGAAGTGAATATTCTGAAGGTGTAGAACTTGCTAAATTTCCCAAAAAGATAGCTAGATTTTAATAATAATTTCATATAACAAATAAATGAAAATTTATATTGATAAATGTCAAACCTGGTATTTGCAAATTCATAAAGCTTGCCGGAGCTAGAAAAGATAACAAGTCCAACTTCTGCATCACAAAGAATTGCCAACTCTTTTGCTTTCTTAATCAAACCCTTTCGTCGTTTCGAAAAGGTAACTTGTCTGCTTGTAGAATTATCAATTCTTCGAATCACAATCTTCCCTCTTCCCATGATGATGTATAAGAATCAATCTTTTTAGGGTTTCTGTCTGAAAAAAATTAAGGAAGTGATTAAAGCAAATCTTGATTAATATGAATAATAAGTAGAGATTAATGTTTGGTTAAGACAGAAAATAAGGGTTTGAAGAAAAGCTTACTTACTGGTTTAAGCAGCCAAAGGTAGCCTTTGAGTTATAATCAGAAAGTAGTTTAGATGCTATCGAATCCTTTATAAGCAATTATAAGCAAAGGGCTCTTTTTAGATTTGAGGGTGAAACTGTTTAATTTTAATTGGAATATTACATTATTCAACTATTAATTAGACAAAGAATTTGGAACATATATATATATTATTTTTAATTTAATTTTTAGTATTTTTTCTATGGGTGCCGTTGGCCCTATGAATTATTGACACGTGGGAAAGTAATAATTATTTGATGAACATTAGTATTAACAAGGCATTTGGTCTCAATTTTATATTAGATTATTATAACAACCCAAGGTTTAGTTAATCTAATTATGGTTTATGCATTAGGGCTAATTTATATTTTATATTTTATGGTCAGAAATCAATCAAATAAATTAGTATATTGATTCTCTTTTTTTATTTGTTTTCTATATATTGGTAATTAAATTAGTATATCGGTTGCATTGAGTAATAATATTGATAGAGTAGAATATAAATGCAAGCTCAAGAAATTTTGAGTTCAAGCTCAACTCGAGTTAATTCATTTTAAACCTATTTACTTCGAGTAGAAAAGGCTTAACAGTGATAAACGCTCAATAAGACTTGAAGAAGTTGAATTGAAATATTATCATTAGGCTCAAGTTTTGCTCATTCGCTAAACGAGTTGGCTCAGACTCAAAATCGAGCTTGAGTTTGAACTCGATTTGAGCCAAACCTTTCTAAACTTTTTATAAATTAAGTTCAAGCAACTTCTGAGTCAACTCGAATTATTTATACTTTTTTTTATCTATTTAGAATTTTCAGAAGAAGGTTAGTTTAATGAGAAATAAAAAAGAATATTGAAAATTTGAGTGGCTACTTTTGTTTTTTATATTGAAAAATTATAATTAATGAGCACCTCTTTTAATGTTCATTTATGAGGATTTTTTTTTCCTTTAAAATTCACGATTCATCTAAATATTTTGAGTTAAACTTAAAAGAGAAAAAAAAATTTGCATGGCTAAAAGAGAATTTTTATTTTCTTTGCCAAATGAGAAAGAATTTTCCGTTTCAGTAATTATATATATAGAGAGAGAGAAGTTGGCAGTAAACATTTTATTATTGGCTAAATCATTAAAAAAAATCAAAAACTTTGCAGATAGTTTTAATTATATCATAAATCAAACTTTCTTCTTATAGTACCTTTAACTTTAACTTTAGTTATAATAGCACCCTAATTTCAAAATTTACCCAATCAATGAATAAATTATTATTTTTATTGGATAAATATTTTTATTTATTTATGTAAAATATTAAAATAAAAATAATCTATTCATCTTAAAAATAAAATACTTTTTATTTATTTATATAATTTCGACAACAAGTAATGATTCCTTAAAAATAAAACAATGACGCAGCAAATAAAATCTATTTTTATAAGAGATTTTATAACTTAAATATAATGTCATTAAACCCTAACTAAAATTTCATAAAAATGACAAAACAAAAACCTAAACTAATATTTTATGCTTATAACTAACTAAAATTTATTATTTTTTATGATTTTAAATTTCTAACTAATATTAGTTAGGATGTTGTCAAATGGTGATTTTTTTTTTTTGTTAAATTAACTATAAGAGAGAGTATAAATCCAATAAAAATAGTGTTTTATTTATTAAATCGGATACAATATGAAATTAGGATGCTACTGTAACTAAAGTTAAAGTTCAGAGTACCAGGAGAAGAAAGTTGGATTTAGAGTGGACCTAAAACTACCGGCAAAGTTTGAATTTTTTAAATGATTTAGCCCTTTGTTATTAGTAAATTTCATTTTGTATCAGAAAATTAGGCTAAAATCAATTTATATAACAATAAAAGCACTCCTACGAAATTCTCCATCAAGTCATGCAGGAAAGTTGACAAAAACAATATGCAAGATATAGAATTATTTTATACACATTTTCTCTATCTATTAATAGTTTTTCTCACTTTGTATCAATTCCTTAAATAAACGGTCTTCAGAAAAAGAAATGAACGGAGTTTAAGAATAAAAAAAAAAAAAAATCTGATAGAAACATTTTTAATATTACATAAATGAGTATTTTTGATATTATAGATTAAAGTTTAAGAATGGTAAAGTAAATGAACATTAATTTAAATTATGGCAAATGAGAATTAACTTTTGAAAATCTCAAAGGCCAGTTTGAATTAAGATTTTTCGCTTTACATTATATATTCTGTCCTCTTCAAATGGAAGTGTGCTTAGTGACTGATCAAAAATTAGAATTGTCTTTCTTGGAAAGAGAGAAATATTAATAATAAGTAAAGTGAGATGAGATCATCTTGCAATTCCAACGTATTGTATTTTGAGTATTCGTAGACATGATCTCTGGTGTGTATATTTGGAGCAAGGAATTTGTGATGCGTCAGAGACATTGCTTTAGAATTAGAGAAAAATAGGGAATTGGAATTCCTTTCTACTGTGTTATTCAAGTTACCAAATCTAGTAAAATTGCATGGCCCATTTTCATTCTCTTGCACTTCCACCACATCTAAATTTTTAATACATGGAATTCGCGTACATAAGTATTCTCAGCATTTAATTATGCGTGTTTTACAGGATCAGTTATGAGCTCACTTTTTCATATCAATTTTATATAATGGTGGTGTTTATATAAATTTGGTCACAAAATTAAAATACAAATTTTAAATGTTAAAATTATCGCTACATAAATGCAGTTAGCCTTTATTTATATTTTCGACGACTATATTTTCATTTTTATCATTGTAAACGTGGCTACAACTATTGGTGTAAGGAATGAAGATATGTTGGGCCTAACTAGGTTTTGGAAACTGCAGCGTTTTATGTCTAAAAGTGTGGACATATTGTTTCGGCCACATTGGTAGAAAAGGGCATGTTGAGGTTTTGAAAATTGAATACAATTAGTATTGTCAGCCACATTGGTAGAAAAGGTAGACAAAAATGGTGGACAAACATAGAAAAATAATGCACAATTTGAAGAGCTGCAATCTTCTATTACTGATTTGAGGCACTTTTATGAAGGAACTAGTCAATACTTTGAGGTTTCTTAAACTCCTACTTTTGCTAATGGTGGCAAAAAAAATGCAAATGTGGCTAAACATGATAGTCTTCTTGAGTAGCAAAGAAATGATGATAATCAATGTGACAAAAGTCCAAAAGATGTGCCCAATCCTGCAATGCATGAAGACAGTATTGTTGAGAGGTAATCTGTAGTCATTTCTGCTTCATTACCTATAGAATTGATGCAAAATTATGACTATTTCTAGATATGGTTGATTTAATTATTATAGAGAAGTGAATAGATTTTCTCTGAATCAGATTATTAACTGTGGTTTCATTTTATATGTGGCAAAATTTATAAGTCGAGGAGTTTGGTTGTAAACTTAAAAAATTTAGCTTCAAATTTTATTTCATTTAGGCGGCAACATATTTAATTTAGGCAATACTTTCTGAATTTCAATTAAAATTTGAGGAATTAAATTTTGTTTTTAATTTTGAATTTGAATAGAAAAGTTATTTAAATTTAAACAAGTTAAAGCCAAAATTTTAGTCTTTTTTCCTTCTTTTTCCAAAAATTTTGAGAATTTACGGTATTCCAATGGAAATTTGGCATTCAATTTTGGCTTCGAAATTTATTTTATTTCTGAATCCATATTATGTAAAACGTGCCCTCGATGTGAAAAAGTGTTATAATAGAAATATGAAATGTTTGAATTTTTTTATCAAAAGTGATGCTTCAATCCATGCAAGTAGAGGGTAGTAATATATTTCTTAAGATCGACTCTTGTGTCAGTTGTTATTTTCATAATTAATGATGAAATTAACTCTTATTAAGAGCATTTTAGATAGAAAAATTTAATTAATTAACTTTTTTAATCAAAGAATTTTTTCTGTTTTCTATAAATAAAAAGAAAACATGAAGCATAATCTATTTTGGAAGCAAAATATCTCTATAAAAACATTAAAATAGTTTATATTCTTTTCAATGGAGGATTTTTATAGAAAAAAGGTTTAGGAATATTTGAATACGGTTTATGTATAATAACCCCAATAACTTATATTTGCGACTAGTTAATACACTAGACATAAATTATTTTGCAGCATGTGCAAGAGCAAAATTGACTGACACACATGTGGACTAGAATGGACATCCACCAGTCGAGGGAGTTTTTGGCGCTCTCATACCAAAAGTTTAGCCCTATGGCAAACTATCCGTACGACACTGGATATACAAACTATAAAGTACAAACCCTATAATTTGGCCGAAAAGAGTTATTTTTATTTTTTTTCTAAATTCTAAAAAAGGTAATTCAACTACGAAAAAGAAAATATGATGTATTGCTCTAAATAGGAACTTTCTTGGATTTGGCACCCTTTTAAATTACAAACAAATTTTAATAATCATATTGAAGAAAACTTCAAAATGGAAAAATAATTGATTCATAAATTATAATCGAATTAACACGTGAGAAATTTTGATTTCAAAAACTAACTATAAATTCTCTGAATTATGATTTTATTAATATTTTGGAGAAATAACCAAAGTGTTAATAGAAATTATAAATTATGAATCTCATAATTAGTTTGACTATAATTTAAAATCTATTTCTTAGTAAATTGACGGTCAAAGTAAGCTGTGTTAGACAGAAAAAATTAAAATCTTAATGAAATCATAACTTATGAATTTCGTAATTAGTTTTTTAAAAATATAAATATTCATATGTTAATTGGATTGTAATTTAAGTACCAATTTTAATTTTTTTCGTAAATTAAATTCTAATAGTCTATATCACTTTTAAAATAATAAGGTTGAAGCAAGAAATCAAAGAAAAACACAAGTTCAAGAAAATTTTATATAATCATTGAACTATCAATTAATTTCAGAATAAAATTATTTATAAAGAGCAATGCTAAATAGCTCATGGTAAGTTGAATTATTTTCATGGAATGTTCATTTTATTCTCCATTAAATTTTTAGAATATTAAATAAATAAGAGAGAATGAAAATTTGAATTTCAAATTTTAACATTCATCCATGAACAAAATATTAGATGTAATTCTCTAACAAAACTTAATCCCTAATTTTTGTATAAAAGCTTAGAAACAGTTGTGATTTCCTGGATCAAATAAGTGTTACATATCGGCATAGGTCATATCAATATAGTGTTGCTATGCTAGCTAATTCTAGAATCAATATTCTAAGATTGATTATACGTGAATAATGTATTTAATTAGTTTATTTTAATTAAGTGGACAAAAATACGAATGAGTTAACCTGTCAAATCCTAGCAACGTGGACTTCTAGCCGAGCGCGCGGGCGCAGGGGTTGCCAAACTCCGATTTTTAGAATTGAAAGGGTAAGTTCACAACCGGTTGAAATCAAAATCAGAACCGTAATCAAGAGGTTGCGGATCAGTTTCGATTTTAAGTTTTTTAGAACCGTGAATCAAAAGTTTTGATAACTGGTTAGAACCGGTGGTTTTAACATATATTTTTTTATTTTTTCAAAAAATTTTATCAAAATCTCAAAATTAACCATTTTAACAATTATAAACGGCTATATAATGTCTAGTTATGTTAAGGTTATTGTGTAAGTTAGATTTTTGGTTTTAAAATTATGTGAACTGTCCAGAAAATCAGTCGGAAAATTGTTTGAAACTGTTGGTTTTGAAACCGTTAAGAAATTAAAACCGGCCGATTTCACGCCAGAACCGAAACCGTTAATTTCAAATTCGATTTCGATTCCACGTTATTTTGTCCCAAAACCGTGGCCACCCTAACCGAACGGGACATTCCATCCTCTATAATTGAATAACAATCGACTCATATGATTAAAAAAAAAAAAATCTGATTTATAAATATTTTTTAAAATTAAATACTCTAATTTAAACTCAGCTGAATACAAGTATTAAAAAGAGGTAGCAGAGGATTAGAGTTTCAATACTCACAGTTCGTATCGCCTTTTTAAGTGTTGTTTTTGATGACTAAAAAAAGGGAAAACTTTAAGAAAAAAATAAACACACTACTAACGTTCTTAGAGGAGTTCAGTGTACGGGCAGGTCAAGGTCCAATAATCATGAAGCGGTTGGTGGCGTTCTCTGTACACAATTTTCTATTGGCTAAAGCCCATGTGAAGATGACCAATGAGATTCCATCTAAGCACAAGGTGTATAGAAAGCAAAAAAATAAATAAAGACCTTGGATTAAGGAACCCTAATCTCAAGATTAGACTATATTAATTAATTAATTATGCAGTATCCATGCCTCCTGCTGCGAGCTTGGCCAGGTGTCAATCATCAACAAATCATATATGCAAACACCAAGAAAGGAAAGATGTAGTTATCCACATTTTTCATTAAACAAGTAAAAAAAATAGTAAAAGTCACTTTAATCTCTCGACCCAACCATCCATAATCACTTCTTTTCAGTTGTGGATTTTAAAACAATAAAAATAATAAATTAGTGGAAGAAGCACATGAACTTCATCATATATATTACTTCCAATTTTCTCCGACCAAAGCTGTATTATTATATATATATTTGGTCTTTTGTTTATTTATTTATTTATTTTTGTTTAGGTAATTAACTGTTTCGTACTTGAAATTTGATTAAAATTATTAACTCATTTGTATTATTTGATAAAATTACTAATTTATTCTTAAAATTAGTTACATTAAACTATTTAATTTTTCTATCCAAAAAATGTAATTTGTACACGTAATTAAGAAACTAAATATAAGAGAAAAAATAGTAATGTTATATTTTATTATATATAAATTTAAAAAATAATCAAACATTATAAGATATTCAATGGCAAAAATATCACATTTTGGATAGAAAGACCGAATAATATAACGGGTTTAAATCAAATTAATAATTTTACAAAATAATAGAGATGAGTTAATAATTTCGGTCAAATTTTAAGGACTAATAAGTTAATTAACCTTTTTAGTTTTTGGTTTTATTTTATAGGTATTAGGTAGGAGGAGAAGCATACCTCTTTTGATGTGCAAAGCCCACCTGATCATGTTTTGAACAGTGATTAGATATGAACCTAATTCTTTTTACGCAATCTATCTTAATAAAATCTTCTGAAATTGATTATGTGGCTTTCATATGTATATTTTTAAATTGTTGGCATTTTGTACTTTCATTCAACTATTTCTTGTTGTTAGGGTTTGTCTCCCCTTCACTTTTCTTCATTCTAAAGATATTATTATTGCACCGTTTGTATATATATATATATATATATATAGCAAGCCCACCTGAATCATGTTTTGAACAGTGATTAGATATGAACCTAATCTTTTTAACGCCAATTATCTTAATAAAATCTCTGAATTGATTATGTGGCTTTCATATGTTATATTTTTAAATTGGTGGCATTTTGTAAACTTTCATCAACTATTTCTTGTTGTTAGGGTTTGTCTCCCTTCAACTTTTCCTTCATTCTAAACGATATTATTATTGCACCGTTTGTAATATTACTATATATATATATAGTATTGCAAGTTGTGTAAAGAATGCATTATAAGGGTGATGTATATATATATATATATATATATATTGCAGTTGTGTAAAGAATGCATTATAAGGGTGAGAATATAAATTCGATCTATTAGGAAGCGCGTTTTACGTGACGTCGCCAAAAACCTTTACGCTTTATAAATCAAGAGAACTAAACCTTCTGACCATAAAAAAAAAATAAAAAAACCAAAAAGAATGCATATGTAACTAATATGGGATGAACTTGTAATATTGAAGTCTAAAAATTATTGTAAATTAACTACAAATGTTTAGAAAGGAAGGTTGTGTGTTCAGGTCCTTCAAAGCGAATATAATCATACATAATTCCACGAAAAGGCCCTATACTTCTTGTCTGTGTTAGATATATAGTGTTGTTTCCTCTTTTAAGTAGATAGCTTTGAACGTTAATGCTGTACAACCTATACAAACCATGTATCCCATGCCTTGCAATGGCATTGTCTCTGCCTATTAACTTAGTTGTAAAATGAGGTTTGTTGGCTCTTTCATCATTGAACCGAACCTTCATTTCAAAACAGTTAACAATTTAGCAATAAAGCCTGAAACGAAATTAGTAACGCATCCAACAAAAAAAGGATAAAAGAAATTGATGACCCTAAGTTATTGTATTGAAATGTTACAATTATATTACCTGAAGTTCTGATGCGGCGGATGATGCCAAGGCTACTTGGAGAGTATAATTTCCATTTTGGTTCACATTTTCCAATTCAAATTTAATCTCCCATGTAGTTGCTTGGTAATTCTGATTTCCTATATTCCTGCTCAATGAAACAATTTTTATTTAATATTTCCAGAAAGTTGATTTCATCAATTATAAGATTGAATTTATATATTCACGACTTTATCAGCCATAAATTTAAAATTAAGATTTTTTAATATATAATCCACATTATGTTTATGTTTTCGCAAAATAAAAAAAAAAAAAAATACCTGGGAACCTGTGCAAAGAACCAATCCTGATGATAATTACTAACCCCAACCGTGTAAATGAGATCTTGGGTAGGATACAAATCGGTGTATCTATCCCATAATCCATATTGCCTAAATCTGTTCATTGAAATTAATTAATGATGAAAGGAGTAAAAATGTACAGTCAAAGTAGTAATTACAAACAGAGAATAAATAGTCATTAGTACTTTTGAGTTGGGTGATTAGTGTACAGTTTGTTCTCAAGTGTTGGGTATGTGTCTGGTACAAAAAACTCAGCAGCAGTGCGATCAGGAATGCCTATTTCCCAAAGGGTTGGACCATTTCTTGGTGGCTCATATACAAGGACACCCAGTTCCATTTCATATCCTGCAATGCAAATCAAAAACATAAGTTGAAATTGTAATTAGTTGACATTACATCTGCATTTTTTTTATAAACATGAGAATCCAGGGAGAAAAAACCTTGTTGGATAGTGATATTAGCATCATATTTCCAATCTCCAATAATACCAGGAACCCATGCATACAAATTATAATTTCCAGCTCGAACATTTTCAATTAAGAAATAACCTTTCTTGTTAGCTCGTGTCCAAAATTGATAACCCTAACAAAAGATAACAAAGAAAATGGAAATATGATAAGAGAAAGTAAAAGAACAGAGATGTAATTAGTAATTTTTCATAATTAAATTAAGTGTTCTTAATATTTATAGAAAATGAGAGATTTCCAATTTGGGCGAAAGAATTCATCTAATTAGAACCCTACTAACAAAATAAGAAAGGGGAAAAATAACCTGGGAATCTGTTTGCCATGAGCCCACTTCTCCTGGGGCTGCCAAACCCACATAAGCAAACGCACCCCAAGTTAACCTCTTACTAGCATACCTATAATGGAAATGAAATTAAATCATTATGGACTACCTTTAATTTAATTGAAAATGTTCAATTCAAAGATGACATAATGCTACCTGTCAAGAAGTAACAATTGACCGGAAACTGCCCCACGCCGAGCTGAAGAAGGGAAATCCTCCGACCGGGGAAAATCGTATGGCCAATTTTCGACTTCCATTGACATCTAATATTGAAATTACTAAGTGTATATAAACTTAATTTTTTGGGAAATATAGAAAAATAGTAAATGAAATTAATGTATAATTATGTAATACCTGTTGTTTAGCATCTTCCCAAAGTAACAAGGGGTCCTCTTGGGTAGAAATTGAATTAAGGTAAATATAAACAGGACCAAAAACTTTTTTCCATGGCTTTCCATTTCTGAATTGTGTATTTAAGTCCTTCCCAGCATAATGGGTACTAGTAAACATCTGCATATTATAATCATGAGGTTAATACTTACTTAATTCCTTAAAATAAACTATCAGTCAATACAAATTTCAAATAAATAATATTAAGAAATAAACTATCAGTCAATACAAATTTCGAATAAATAATATTAAGGAGCCAAGCCAACAATTCAAATGAAGACGGATAATAGTTAAAAAATTAAGAAAGAAACATATATATATATATATATATATTGAAAGAACGGATATAGTTAAAAAATTAAGAAAGAAAATATATATATATATATATATATAGTAAGATGCAAATTGAAATTGAATTGCAAAAAGTTGAACAGAAAACTAAGTTGAATGATTACAAAAATTGACAAAATTAGGCAGTAAATTACAAATAATTATTAATATTCATCTAAATGAAGTATTCAATTAACAAAAAAGAAAAAAAAAAAAACTTAACTATAAATTTAATGGAGGTGTAACAGGCTGTGATTGGCTTACCGAGAGAACAGTAGGGCCTACATGAGAGGTGAGATCTTGTTTGAGGGGCCCACCTGCACGATATTCATCACTTGGTGTGATCATCCAGAATCCCACAGGTGTATCCTCAGATATCCAACCATGCACCCTATTGTCTTTGTTATCACATGAATATTGATATTTGTCTTCCACCTGTGCTTAACATTAGCAAACATACATTTCTTAAAAAAAAAAAAAAAAAAAAAAAAAAAAAAAAAAAAAAATTGAAAAAAAAAAAAAAAAAAAAAAATTGTTTTCTTTTTTCAAAAATAATGAGTCATAAATTGGAATGTAAGTAATAGCTTTCTTTTTGTTTAATAATTTATAATATTATTTGTATATATAGGAAAGAAATAATAAGTACCTGTCCTCTGAGTTGAGGATTGACTGGATTGGTTAAGAGAATAGCTTCTGGATAGGCCAGACGTTTTCCATTGCGGAAGTCTGTACGTGATGGCATTATCCTTTGCCTATCATCTGATACTATCATCAACTGAAATCTGACCATCACTACACAACCCATTAGTACTATAAAAAAAACATATATAAGGGTTTGGTTAAACCCATTATTTTTTGTTCCTTACTTGTCATTTTGGAGTTTAAAAACGATTCTAATTTGATCAATGTCAATGTCAGGCCATCCTTCCAATCGTTCTAATATGGCATACATATAAATCCCTGAGCTGCCACGTCTCAATATATATCTGCAAACTTGTTCAGATTAATAACTAATTATAATCAAGGATTAAGCAGTTATTTATCTAATAAAATAATAAAAAATTTTACCTCTTGTCTACATTTAGAGGGACTGTGTTGTCGCCAATGGAAGCATTCCATGTTCTAGTGAATGAAACTTCCACTTGGTTTTCATCTTCCATTATAACACTAAATTTACTTGCTTTTAACCTGTATTTATATATACATATACATATATTTTAGTAATTGACAAATGAAATTCATGAAATATTTTTACAGGAAATAAACCATAATTTAATTACCTATCATAGGCTGTGCGACTTCCAGGCTTGTTCCACACAATATCCCAATACCTAAATTCAATTTATTTTTTTGGGAAATTAATAACCATTAATCAAATAAATCTTAAATTATAATATTGAAATTATATATATATATATATAGATATTAGAAGTTCAAATTACATACCCTCGATTACCTTCTCGATTTTTAGTTGAGAGTACGTTTTCCATTTCATTGTATTGTATTTCGTTGATGTCACCATTCGGATTTGATAGGGTAACTTGGACAAGTCCATTATCTATAACAATCTGAAAGTTTTGATTAATTAGTATTTAATTAATTATTATAAGAAAATAACATTAATTAGATAGTGAAAAAATAATAAAAAAGATAATTACTTTGTGACCATCCTTCAAATATAGCTGAACTCCAGGCGATGAGCAGTAGTCACTTTGCGAAACATCAATTCTGTCAATGAATCCAAAATGTTATGTCATGCAAAACGAGAAAAAAAATTGAAATCCTTCCTCAAGAATCATATATAGTGGATCAATTTTTCTTTATCTTTCCTTCTTTTCTTTTTTTTTTTTTTTTTTTTTTTTTTTTTTTTTTTTTTTTTTTTTTTTTTTTTTTTTTTTTTTTTTTTTTAGTATTTCGAGTTCATAACCAGTTCTTGCATAAGTGTTATTCTATGAATTAAACTTTTTAATCTTGTAAAATTTTTCTATTTAATTTAAGTTTGGGCATAATTTTTATAAACATACACTTAACTTTTTGAAAGCAAAGTAGTTTGGAAAAATCTTGATTGTAAGAAAATATTACAAATCTAATTAGAATGAAGAGCAAAGGAGAATTAATTAAATATATAAGAATCAAGAACATACCCAGGAGAAGCAGCAGTAAAGAAGAAGAACAAGATCAACCAAATAACCATTACCAGCCAGCCAACAAGAGAACCCATCTTCTTCTCCATTTTCACGAATAAACCCTAAAAAATGTGACAAGAAGAATTATATAGCAAATACACATATATAGTTTCTGTTCTTCAATGGGAGGGGAGTTGCAATGTTGAATTATTTATAGCAAATTAAATGGGTGATTAACAAATAAGTCTCCTGTGCTAGATTTTGACATTGCTGATACTTATTTATGGCTGACAGAGTGGAATTGAAAATGAAAAATTTAAATATATGAGTTCGTTTAGTTACATCTAGAGGTTGGTATATACTATATTTATGTAGGTGGCAGTTCCTAAATCTAGATAGTGGCATATGCTCTGTGTTAGGTGCAATTATTATTATTGTTATGATGGATAACATTATCACTAAATTAAAACTTATTGATATTTCCGATTTCCTTTTAGATAGTTTTATGATAATGAAAAGGAAAATGGAAAATTAATTGTCAGCTCATTTTCGGGTCAATTTCATTGGAGGGACCTGAATTTTTTTGAGACTTATGTTATTGGACATAAACTTCAATTTGTAACTTTAAAAATATCCAAATTTCAATATTGTAACATTAAAATGCCTTTTACCGATTTAAATTCATTTCCATTCACCGAAAAACCATCTATACGCATTCACCGGAAAAACAAAATCTAGAAACAACATTGACTAGATTTTTCAAGTTATTACCGATTTAAAAAAGCACATTACAAATCTAACAAAAATAAATCCAAAAGAGAAGAAACTAAGCTTTGATGCTCTTCACACCTCAAGCCAAACAAGAAACCAAAGCTAAATACCCCATTTAATAAATCAGAAAAAACCTAAAAAATAAATTGCTTTTGTTTGAAAAAGAAAAAAAAAGTACAGGCTTTACCTTCTTAACACCAGACCATCGCCACCTCCTCCTTTCTTTTATGAACTTCAACTTGCTTTTCCCCTTTATTGCTATCATTCTTTTGCAATATATAAAAAAAAAAAAAAAAAAAAAAAAAAAAAAAAACCTTTCAAAAATTCAAAAAATCCCACTCATAGAATTCCAAAATACACGAAGAATAGAAACTAAGATTCAAAAAAACACTTTTTTTTTTTTCGTTATTTTCTTATTCTCACCTTGACCATGGAGATAATTTGGGCGCAAACGAGAAGTGAAGAGGAAAGAGAGAGGACAAGGTAAGAAGAGAGTCCAATATGGAGGAGAGAGTTTTTTTTTTTTTTTTTTTTTTTTTTTTTTTATGGTGTTAACTTCACTGGAATTAGAAAGTCCATATATGAATGCCACGTAAAATTCCGGTGAATGGAAATGAATTTAAATCGGTGAGTGTTAAATTACATTTTTGTTTTTAATTATAATAAGGTTATTTTAACCAATAAAAATGTATTTATACTTGCAAAAATGAATTGATTGGGAATTTGAAATGAACAAATTAGCCACTTCATCTTAATTATGGATTAACAAAAGTTTTGGTCATGCAATATTTTTAGTTTCTTTCCTCTAACTCATAAAAAATTTTAGAAATTATATGAAGTTTTGACCAGGTGAAGGTGTAGAGGATTTTCATGTTTGGCACATTTCAAGTATTAATTCTTATTTAATAAAAGAGTATTTATTATTAAACCCTTCCCATTATGTTTCAGGGACGTGTTTGGCTTTCTTGTTTCAAAATCAAAACGATTTAATTGAAGTCTTTAATAATTTTTACAATATAAGAAATAAAAAGAGGATGATGCGCCTTTTGTTCTCATGTCATATGTTTTTGGCGTTTAAGTAAAAATATCTTGTATTTTCTATTTATTGTAATTGCACTCTATTTTTAACTTTTGGATAAATATATCTTAAAATGAAACTTAGAGATTAATTACATCTCATAATTAAAATTTAAAAAAGAGAATGCAATTGCAACTAGTACAGATTGAAAGGGTAGAAGTGAACTGGGCAATGGATTATAACCTGCTTAAGTAAAAAAATATGATATAAATTTATTTGGATTTGGGCCAACCAATATTAAAAGGACGTTAATACTAACCAATTAATGAATTAGCTTGCAACCTTTATACGCTCTTTGTGAATTTGTTATTTAGTCGATGTGTGATTGTTAATAACAATAACACGTGAAATTCATGGTAATTTTATATTCTTAAATGATTGATACATCATATGGTTGAAATAGAGCGAAATTTCATCATGTGCAAAGTTCATGGTATTTGACTATTTTACTTGACAAAGATTTAATCTTCATATCTGAAATGAATTTGGTTATTTATTCCTCAATTTGTAACAAATTAATTACATCAAAATGTTATTTAATCAATAAGTTTTCAATTTTCATATATAAACTAATTTTTTGTTATATTTAGTTATTTCCTTGATTTGAAATAAACTAAATACATAGAAAATCACTTGATCAAAATTAAATCCATATGTGAAACAAATTTCGGTTATATTTGATTTTTTCTCGATTTTGCGACAAGTTACTTACATCAAAAGTATCTGCTTTTATTTTTTATAGGAACAATAAAAGAAATTATAGGGAAAATATTTTTTTCGTCCATAAGGTTTTGTATAATTAATCAACTCGTTCTCATGTTTTTGACTATTAATTATTTAGCCACTGAGGTTTGATTCTGTCACGTTAAACAGTCATTTAGTCTAAATTTAGCTGCTTTTGCCGTTAAATCGATGTAAAAACAAAGAGAGAGGAGAGAAATATATTCTTAAATACCATATTGTACCCTCAACGAGATCAATCAAAAGGAGATATTTTGAAATAGATTATATCTAATTTCCTTCCACTTCTGAACTTTCTCTACAAAATCAAAGGTTTTTTTCTCTCTCACAAAACCCTTCATCATGTCTTCATCATGTGACCGCAACAACTCATTCGAGGGGAGTTTTGTGAATTTGTATTGTAAGTATGGGAAAAGAGCCGGGATAAGCATCTCTAAACAAAAAATCGTCTCTACTGTTATTGTGTCGATAATGTCTGTGGATTATTTCTGGGTTGGTGTAAGCAAGTTGACGTTGATTCTAGCGAAACCAAAGCTAATAATGAGAAGGAAGTCAGGCAAAGAAGCGTTCCTCAAGGTGTTAGTGATGTGAAGGAGGAGGTTTTGTTGATTCAGACCGAGATGAGAAGCATGGCAGGGAGGCTGGAATGCCTAGATGCAGAGATTGGTTACTTAAAATCGATTATTTGCGTTTTTATAATGTGCATATTGATGCTACTCATGGTTGTTGTGATTGTCCATCGCAAGAAAAATTAGGGGTATGAAATGCCTATTTCTGGAGATTTAGGTGGAATGAGGTTGTTTAGGTGGAATGAGGTTGGGTTGGATGGATTTATTTCAAAATATCTCCTTTTGATTGATCTCATTAAGGGTACAATGTGGCATTTAATAATATATCTCTCTTCTCTCTCTTTGTTTTTACTGCAATTTAACATGATAGAATCAAACACCAGAGATTAAATAATTAATAGTCAAAAACACGAGGAAGAGTTGATTAATTATGCAAAACCTCAGGGACAAAAAAAATATCTTTCCGAAATTATAAGCCCGTTCGCAGTGGCAGATCCACTTAATGAAAAGAGGGATAAATTGACCTTTTTTATTTTTGAATTTTCTAATATATATGTATATTGTCTAAATTAATTTATAAAGTTCAATTTATTTATGTTTTTGACCTTTTTTTAATAAAAAAAATTATATATTTAATATAGTAAAAAAAAATTTTCTAGGTCTGCCACTGCAATATGAATTTGTCAGACAAGGGAAAGCCAACTTGATTGCTTCGGAATGGAGACTATCATAAGGCTCCGAGCTAAGTAAATGATAGCCCAAGAATATTTGAAGGTAACCGCGAGAACTCCAAAACTTAAAAAGTATTCTCCAATTCCAAAGCCCAGAATCTCAAACTAACCATTAGCAAAATATTAAATGGCAATATCAAGATCAAAAGTATACTTTTCTTGATTTATTTCCTAAACTCTTACATTGATCCAACTATTTGTTTAATATTTATTTAATCAAGTTTCTTTGAAATTAATATATATTTTGCTTTCTTTGATTTTTTGCTATTTCTTTGGAGCCAATTAATTTTGTTGTAGATACAATTTTCAGGGGAGCTTAAATGGCAATTTCGGGAGCTAAATGGCAATTTCTCCTGAAGATTCCACTACAATTTGCACAAACTGGTTTGTGAATTACAAATTATATCTTTATGTATGAATGTAATTTCTTGATTTTCGGAATTGTTTAATATTAGAAGCTCTGATAATTTATTATGTGGATAGTGAGAAAGCAATTCCAGCCCCAAATATCAATTTGCATATTGCACATTGCACCCGTAAATTGGAAAGGTGCAAATTCTGTAGAGAAACGGTTCCTAAGAGGGAAGCGCAGAGACATTACTCAAACAAGCCTGTTTAGGTATGTTGTTAATGTATCAAATTTGATTTAGCTAAGTTTGGAGTGGTTTCGGTTTTGAGCTTCATCGAGCTGCCGAAACGGAAATATTGGGTGCTAACATTAAATCACTGTTCTTTTCTAATTTTAGGATGTTCGTGGGAATCAAATACCGAACTGTCATCGTTGCCGCCGCCAGAGATATATTAATGCAGGTCGTAGAGATCAAAGGGGAAATGCTTGGCCTCGCAGGGACTTTCTTTACACGGTTGCTATAACAGGAGCTGCCTTTTTTCTGGGCTCTGTTTTCTTCCAAAGAAAGGATGATAATAATGGACAATTGATTTAAAACATTTTCTCAATATTCTTATCCTAATCTTCAACTATAGCAAGGTACCTAGCATAGGTCCTAGCATAGGTTTTCGGTTTTTTTTTTTTTTTATAATTTTTTATAATAAAGTTTATTTGATTTCTATAATTATACTTTTTTTTTTTATTAAAGATGTCAATGGAAAAGTAATAAAATTAATATATGCACGTAGCAGCATTACCAAATATATTTTCCTAATATTTACTGACTGGGGATAGAAATATTGTAAGCCACGATACTCTTAAGTGATGATTACTAAACCACTAATAATTGAGTATTATTTTTCCAAAAAAAAAAAAAAAGAATTCATTTTTAGGGTTATGACATTTTTCCGGAAAAAATTAATATGAATTTGACAAAAATGTTAGTAAATTTTATTTTAAACAACTTTTAGAAGGCTCAAACTCATATAAGAAATAAAATATATTAATTTTATAAATAAAAAAAAATTCTAATAAAAATATAATTAGAGTCAACCAACACCTGAGTTCACAGAAAATATTTATAAAACTTGGAAAATAATTTTCTACACATATTTAAATTGCAAGACTTGAGTTGTTCCATTATGTGCCTTCATGTTTGTGTCAAAGAAAGAGCAGCACAACAATTCATGTGCAAGGTGAACTAAACAGGATATACAGCTAAGCAAAGATGAACTGCATCGGATCAGATATGATAATAAGTAACTTTTAACTTCCAAATCCGAGTCTACAAGCACTGAATTAACCATATTTCTACAAGCCATATTAAATTCTCCACCAAACTAATTATATATCCTTATAATTTTTTTTATCATTTTTTATAATTCTCCACCGGCTATTCTCCAACACGAAGGACACAAGAAGACAAAATTTGAGCCTGCAAATCATAAAATATTTCCTGCAACATAGTTGGAAACAAAATTAATTAATCCAATATTTGAGGTCAACTTTAGATTAAACCACGAACCCCCCCGATGACCGTCCTCCCATGCTCATCGCTCTCACATGTGCACAGGGAGCCGAATCCCCATACTGGCCGATTCGGTCCCTATCCTCACTTCACCAGCCCTCTCATATTTCTAATCCTCTCTTTTCTTTTTTCATACCAACAGGAGGCAACCCGGTGGTCTCCATCCCCATCTAGATCATCAAGCCGCTCACACAGGAAGGCCACCCAGATTATCAGGTGCGCCCAATAAGAAGCCACCCTGTGGTTTCCATATAATCAATATCATCCGGTGCACACCGGGGCGCCGATCTCCCATTTACCCTGCCTCACAGTCAAATTCCATATCATATCATAATTTAATCATATTCACGATCCACCGTCCTCACAAATCCATGGTGACCCACTTCATCCCAACTCCACAAAAACAAAGTATACCATTGTCACATCACAACTAATCAAGCATTGCAATTAAATGCAGACATATTGATCAATTAAACATCGTAACGCAATGCACAATTAGACATCCATACTCAAATGCAAATAAATGAATAAATAGTATTAACAATAAACAACAATGATAACCGGCTGAAATGGTTGCGTTGCTGGATCGGGCATAGGTGGATGCATCTGTTGCTGTTGCTGCTGAGTCTGAAATAACTGCTGTTGTTGTATCAACATATTATTCATAGCCGTTATAGCTTGCTGAAGTCCGGTCAATAATGCATTTACTTCAGGGGGATTTTCAGCTACAAATTCCTCATTTAGATTCCCTTGCTCCTCTTCATCTTGATTGACTTCGTGTCTTGCAGGTCTACCCCTTCTTCGTCTAGCAGGAACAAAACGTCTGGAAGAGGCCTCATCGGGAGCTTCTCGCTCCGCATTTTCGGATGCTCTTCTCCTAGTATTCACCACACAATCCGATTTATACATTACAATAACATTATATCTTAATTAAATTAACAATAAAATTATAAAGCTATTAACTACTCACATCTACCAAATTAAATTAACTACATTAATTAACCACAAATAATAGGGTTAATTTAATTAACTAACATTTCTACCATTAACTTAGCTAGATTAATTAATTACAAATAATAAAATTGATTTCATTACCTAATATTAGTTAATTTAATTTAGTTTAATCAACTAATATTAACTAATATTAACTTAATTAATTTAATTAGCTATTATTTCATATCTAAATAACATTAACATTAACACAATTAATGTTAATTAATTAACTACTAACAACATTAACTAACCCAACTAACTAAATTAACTAAATAACATTAACACTATTAACGTTAATTAATTATGCTAGATCAAAATTTCTTACGCGAGTCGGGTAAAGAAGCAATGACTGCCGGTGATCGAACTTGACTGGCAGTGGCTGAGAGAGGCGGAGAGAGGCGAAGAGAGGCGGCTGGCAGCGAGACTTGCAGCTGGAGCTGCTGCTGTGGGCGCGCCAGTCCTGACAGAGGGCCTGACTGCGCGATCTGTGGCGCTGCGTGAGCTAGGACAAGGCGGAACGAGCAACGGAGCTGCTCCGGTGACGAGCGGCAGTGAGAACGGCAGTGGGCGCTCGACTGGAGCTGCTGGAGCTGCTGGACAGTGGTGCGAATGCAGGTGCAGGGAAGAAGAAAGGGGGAAGAAAGAAAGAAAGAAAAGGAAAAGAAGAAAAGAAAGAAAAAAGGAAAGAAGGAGAAAAGAAGAAAAAGAAAAAGGAGGAGAAGGTGGGCGGAGATGGTGTTGCCGGAGATACGGGAAGCGCAGAAAAGAAAAAATGGGGAAGGGATGAGGTGCGCTAGAAATAAGAAAAAGAAAAGGAAAATTCTAAGATGGTTTGGGTCGAAACGCGGTTCGATTCGGTTTCGGTTGGCCCAAATCTTCGATTTGTGGATTGGGTTCACGGCTTTAACAATCAGTTTTTCCCCGGTTCGTTTCTCAACAGTATTCATGCAAAATATTTAATATTAAATTTCAGGCTGTCGGTACTAAAAATCAATTGGAAAATGTTTTGAAATTAGAAATTCGGGTTGTTTAGTCTCCCCCCCTTAATAAAAATTCGTCCATCGAATGTTTCGAATGAGCAAGAAATAGGAATGGCAGACTGAGAAAGAAAGCATGTAAGGTATTTTAACAAACAAAATTATCATTTGATTGACACCACAAATAAATGAAATAAGACAAGGTTCATTATAACTCACCATGTAATTCGTTCAATCAGTCTAGTTCCTTTTGTCCACTTTGATTAAAAGCTCACAGGAAACTTAAGTCTATTACTATAACCTCGAATTTCTATTGCCAACAATCGCTACTCAAATTAGTAGCAACTCAACTTCTGTACCGCAAAAATTGCCTACCTGAACCATTCCAACATCGTGTTCTATTTGACTGGCGAACTACCTACTTACCTAATAAGCATTGTTATCCCCTATCAAAATTACCACCCCGTTTAAATCTTATCCCCCGGCCCTGTGATATAAAAGACAATTTTTCAAACAATAATTTTCTATATAATAATAATTTCAAATTTATTTATCATAACACCATTTGAATTGCAAAATAAAAATGGGGTTTTTAAATTTAAATATCAATATCAAGTAATAAAACAATAAAAGAACATTCTAAAGAAAATTCCAGTAGCCGAACTGAATACTAAAAATACCGATTTCTTCACCCCAATCAATCACTCCACCATACAAGTTAGAAAACCTACTTATTGCTCTACACTATCCTGTTCAATGATAGGAATAGAGTCACATGAAAAATAGTGTACGTGGGTCGATCAAGGCCAATCCATACCATCAGGTATTACTCTATTCCCTAGCTTTAAGGGTTTGATAATTGCTTTAGCCCTACAGGTATTGTGATGTCATCTATACTGATCCATTACTTTCACTCTAATCCTCACTTAGTTCTTTCTATAGTTTACGGCTCTTCACAATAAGTGTGGGTTTTCCCACCTCGATAAGGTTCTGGTGCGTCCCCCATCCCTAGAGAGGGAAATCACAAAGTTCTTCCTTATGTTTGGTACGGCGATCCCAACATAAGGAAATTTCTGATCTCTCCGCAGTTGTGTCCTAAATCCTAACCTAGCGTCTGATACCGAACTTTTGTCAACCGAACCGATTCCATGGGCCGGACCGCACGTAGGGCCAGGTCAGCTTAAGGCCCCCCGAGACCCGTAAAGTTAAGCCTGAACACTAAATTTATTATCTCAATGTTAATTTAAACATTTGCAGGCCATATTATGTATGGAAAGATAACCTCAATATTTTTACTTATTTCTCGGCCCAAGTTTATCTTCTCAGCATTCTATAGTTCGAGCCCGAATTTACAGAATACTCACATTCTATATGGCTTACGAAATTATTTTTTGTCGTATGTTAATTACATCTAAAGATATATTGATTCTCCAACTGCGGAGTCACTAATCTTTGGTATACATAGCTGTTTGTTATCGCATAATGTAACATAGTGAATACTTAAGAAACAGAAACATTTTCCTATTGCCCCTGCGCCGAAGAAGACATGAGCCTAACTGGATTAAAGTAAAACTTACTTCCTGGAAAAAACATAAACAGAGACGATGTGAGTGTTTTCCTAAGAAGTAATACTTATTGCAAACACATGCAATTGCACCAAATGTATAAATATATCACCATCTAGTCATGGCCGATAGTTATGTGCTTCACGCGACCATCCAACACATGGGCATATCAACCAAGCACTCACAAGTAAATGTCACCTTCATTAAAACAAGCAAGTGGAAATTAGTCAGTGGAGTCACCGAACCCCCGATGAGCCGTCCTCCCCACATGGCTCCCCCATCCTCTCAACATTCACTCAGGGAGCCGAATCCCCATACTGGCCCGACCGGTCCTAATCCTCACTTCAACGCACCCTCTCATTTTTTCTATCCTCTCTTTTTCTTTTTCATACCAACAGGGAGTGCAACGCCGGTGGTCTCCATCCAATCTAAGGATCATCCAAGCGCTCACAACAGGAGGCACCCTGCGGGCTTGCATCAAATCTAGACGTCC